AAGATTTTAATTAGTATGTCTTCTGTGTTTAAAGCCCTTTTTTTAGTTTGAGCTTTGGATTTGTTTTTTTTCTTTTTTGAACTTCCTTCTTTTGCTATATTATCTGTTAAATACTCTGTTTGATTTTCTAAAAACTGTTCTTTGTTTGTATTATTATTATTTCCTGCTATTTGTTGTATTGTTTCTTTTGGCTTCAAATTTATTTGTCTTCTGTTTCTTGACTCTAACACTGTTCGTTTTCTTTCTCTTGATACTTCCTTTCTTTTTGGATCTTTTTTTTGATAGTTTTTCCAAATTACTCAATAGTTGTTATATCATATTGGTTTGGTTTAAGCTAGATTCATTTCTTCTGAATTTGCAAATATTATTATTGCAAACTTTTTTTGGTTCCCATTTCTGTTTACTGAAATATATATAGCCTTTGTTCCTTTGTTTTTTAAACACTATAGAAGTAAGACCTCTGAAGCTTCTTTGGGAATATCTAACAGTTTTGCTATAAATTGGCACTGTCTATCTTTTTGGTTATAGTCTTCATCTTCTTCAGTTATTCTTGTAAGTTTGTTGTTTTCTAAAGGTAAGGACTACAGCACATTTCTTTTTTCTTTAATGCTTATTCTAATTACTGCTAACACCTTATATTGTGTTCTTTTTACTTGTATTATATGTAGATTCTGAAACCTTCTGCACATGTATTTTATTTCTTTTTCATTAACATCTGAAAGTAAATCTCATATTGTTAGAATTTTCTGTTCTTCTATAGTTTCTTTTTCTTTTTTATTTGTGGTTTTCTCTTCTATTTTGTCTAAACTTGTCTGTTTAACTTCTTTTTTGTACTTTTTGAATTGTTTATAACCTACTTCTGTCATATTCTCTACATCTTTATCTGGAATCATAACTAGCCAATTACCTTCTTTTCTTTTAACTTTCTTAATTGTTGCACTTTTACTGAAATTGCAATCAAAGTTAATTACTACCCAGTTGTTTCCTCTTTTAAATTCTTCTCTAATCGATTTGATATGCTTGTTGTTTCTTAACACCCATTTTAGATAATTTACTCTTTCAATTTTATTGTCATCTAGTAGATTGTATGCTGGAATATTTGCTCTAAATAAATTTTTTTGATTACATGCTCTATTTTCTGGTGACCACAAGCTATCATCTAATAGTATTGCTAAGATTTAATTTTCTAAAGTTATAATGCTTTCTTTTTCTTTTTCTTTTTGCTCTTGGATTTGTTTTTGTACTTCCTTTTTATATATTCTTTTACTATCTTTGAGTATATTCTCTAAAAGAATTTCTTGATTTTCCTTGAACTTCTTATCCTTAAGCATCATTTTATTTATATTTTCTTTTTTAGTTGTTTCAGAGAGAGTTGTTACTAGTATTTGATTTGTTATTTTTATATCTGATTGGTTTTCTTCCTCTATATGCATATTGTTTTTAGTTAGTTCAGCTGATTTGTAAGGTCTCAAAACTTCTTCTTCTGATTGTTGCTCTTTTTCTTGTTTCTGTTTTCTTGTGATTATCTTCTGAGACCTTTCTAGTTTGCTTTTTTTTTCTATACTTTATATCTTGCTTGTTTCTTCTTATATTTGTTCATTATTTATATTTGTTATATAGTTTACTATTTCTGGGTTTTCATAAATCATTCTGACTTTAGTTGTCCATTTTTTGATCAGGGTGTTATTTGAAATTCTATTCTCTTTTTGTCTTAATAAACTTAGTATTTGTTCATAAATTAGTAAATCCATTGCTGTGATTTTGTCAGGATCTATTATTGCTAGACTTTTGGCTACATGCTTATTATCATCTGTAACATGAGGCATTGTTGTTCTTAGTTCTTCTGTTAATATCTCACTATTCATAAACTTTAAATTTCTGGCACCTAATCTGCTAATACAATATAACATTCCTTAATTATGTAACTCTTTCATCTTATCTATTATAACTAATTTGATTGGCTCTTGTTTGTCTAATACTTATCCTAAGCCTGTTTTCCTATCTAATTTAACATGTAATCTTTTGTTTGTTGTTGTTGTATAGCTATTGCCCTTTCTAAAATAAGATGTGTTTGTTTATTTGTTTGTTGTTGTTTACTGATCATGTGTTGTATGTTTTTGTTTTTCAAGGACAAACCAATTTTCTACAATTTGTACAAAATTTTTTTGAAAATTTTCTGAACATTCAAGTTAATAAAGATTTGGTTCTATTTAAGTATATGTCTTTTTGAATGCTGAATTTTTGTTCTTAAAAGTGTTGATGTTGTTTCTTAGTCTTGATTTTGAGATTTGTTTATACTTTGTTTAACATTGATTTTGGTACTATGAATTAGCAGAAAGAGTTTTTTAAAAAGCAAAATATATAATGTTGTAACTAAATATCTCAAATATTATATACATTATATATGTGAGAGTTTAGCATGGTGCTGTTAGGACTAGTGCAAGAGAGTTTGGCTTTATGTTTAATCATAGTAAGATATTTGGATAAAATTTTGTTACAAGTAGAGAGTTTAAGAATTATGTTGTATAATCTGTATTCGATAGTAGAAATAATTACAGTATTAGTAATATATATAGCTTGTTTGTCTGTAATTCTTTTGGTGCTTATAATGTTAATAAGTTGAATTGTTTCATTATAAATTAATTGGCTTTGTTTTGTATAAGAGTTGTTAAAAGTAAACTAGCATCCTAGAAATTTAAATAGCTGGTTGGCAGAAGTAGATGTAAGTGATAAATTAAAGAAATGAATAGAAGCTGTAGATAAGGTGTTTGAAATAAGAATTGATTTAGTTGAGTTAATTTGTATGTCAGCTATGTAGTAAAAGAAGGTAGCTGTAGCAATAATTGTTTGTAATTCTTCTTTAAATTTAGCTATTCAAAGTGTATTATCTATGTATGCTAATACAGATATAGAGGTTTGAAGTTGTTAAGATTTTGGCTAAAGCAGACTAGTGTTTTACTTTGTTATCAAAGTGTATTTTGAGAAGTTTGAAGCAATTTTGTTAATTAGAAAATTATAATAGATTCTTCAAAATAAAGGAGTAATAGTTTCTCCTTAGTCAATGCCATTTTTGATATTGTATAAGTTAGTAAGACCCAGATTTGTAATAACTTAGTTATGTCGATTAGTAAGCAAATTGGTAAGAATGTTGATAAAATTGGATAGCATGTTTAGACATAATAGGGATTTGGTAAAAAGTGTTAGATTTACAGAGTCATAAGCTTTGCTCATATTCTAAGATAAAAGCCAAAGCTGTTTAGAATTACAAAAAGCTTCTTCAATAATATTATTAAGAATAAGTATAAGAATAGCTGTATTATTGCCAGATAGAGCTATGTAGTTAAAGGGTGATAAAATTTTGTATAAGAAGTTTGGTATAAAGTTTTTTAACATATTTAAGCAAACTAATAGGTCTGGTATTAGTTAAATTGCCATCAAAAATAGGCTTTTTGAAAATAGGAAAAATTTTTTCTTCTTTTCATTAGTTTGGAATTTGTCCAGATGTAAGACAGTGATTAAAGAGAGCTGTAATTGTATTGAGAAATAATGTTTCAGCATGTTTAAGTATTTCATAGCTAATGCCTAATAGCCCACATACTTTATTATTAGGAAGTTGGTTGGTAACCTTAAAAACTTCTGTTAAAGAAAGTTTATTAAGTGCTGTTTGATACTATGTAAGGTCAATATTAAGTTTAAATTAGTATTCTTGTTGCTACATTGTGTCAAATAATTGTAATTGGATGTTTCTAAGAGCTGTCTAGTTATCAAAATGTTGTTGAATATGCTGTTTAATAAGAGTTGGTTCAGTAATAATGTTATTTTGTTCTTTGATGTTGTCAAATCTAACAGGATCTTTGTGTTGATTAAGAATACTATTAATCATTGATGTATGACTGTTTTGAAGTTTACTACATCTTTTGTCTATGTTATCATTAATTTGTTCTCTTATATTTTTAATGTTTTCCAAGTTATAGGCATAATAGAGTGTTTTTTATTTAGTATTGGCTGCAGTTATCCAGTTAGATAAAAGGTTAAGATCATAAAGCAGAGCAGATATATTAAGATGATAATAAGAGTTAAGCTGATCAATATCTTGATTGTGAGATGTAAACATTGAAGTTAGTTTCAAATTGAGACTTTGACCTGTCTTATGATGTTGCCAAGTTTTTTAAAGCATAAATGTAGTTTGAATACCTTGGAAGAGAAGATGTGTTGAAAATTCTGAACAATAAAATTTTTGTTTAGAATATGTTGCAAAACAGCTGCAATAATGCTTTTTTGAATTTTGTATCATAAGGATTCAAGTGATTCTGTAGTGTTAGTTGTAGAAGGAGCCTTGTTAGCTTGATGATTAGATGTAACTTGATTAGCAAAAGCTTGCCAATAGTCTTGGTTTATTTGTTTATAAGCAAAGACTCTTTGTTTAGTTTTGGTAACTGATCATTGTTTTTTAGTAATTGCATAAGGAAATTTTTAAGATGATATAAGAATTTTGTAATTACTAAGTGTACTTTGATTAGCATTATCTGTATAATAAAAAGTTAAGTATTGAATGATAGAATGGTTAGCCCAGATATAGTCGATATGACTACTGTATCTGCTGCTATGCCAGGTAGAAGTTAATAATTGTATGTATTTAGCTAGATCATACATATTGTTATATTAAAGAAAATAAATAAGTTTAAGTTTGATTGATAATAATTGTACATTATCAGAGACATTAAAGTTACCTATAATTATTGGTTGTATGCTTTTAGTATTTGCTTTTTGAATCTATTATATAATCTCTTGTAAACAAAGTCATAAGATGGGTATTATTGTGAGTCACTGGATTCCATATAATGATAGGTTACAGGACCTGCCTTGTCTGAAGTTAAGTATTTGAGTAACTAGATGATTTACTTGAATTCTTGTTCTTGAATTTTTCTGCTCGACATTATGTCTAGCATTTGTTGCAAGCAAGCCAATTTTTTTTTTTTTTTTGTCATAATAGCAAAGTAATGAGTTTGACAGAAGAAACACAAAACTTACATGTAGATAGTGAAGTAACACCACATTTGCAAGAGGATCTAACTATAGATTGGAATCGCTTACGATTAATAGACTTGTGAGTCATGTGTAGTAAGTATAACATCTTAACAGAGAGTACTAAAGCAGAACTAATTACCTGTTTGGAGGATCTTTGGACAGAGCCAAAAAGAGATTTCAACCTGCAAAAACCAGAAAAAGGTAAAGCTGTGGAATGGGATCTAAGTGAAGACTATAATGAAAGACCTCTCTCACCAGATGAGCTAGCCGAGCAAATTTATGCTTTTTTGTCTTATATGGAAAATAGATTATAGCAAAAACTTGAGGAAAAGCTGGAAAATTCGCTGTCAAGGGTCTTGGATAATAGTTTGCAACAGTAGTTAGCACAGTTAAATAAAGTAAGCTGGGCTGGTGCTGCTGAATCCAGCTTTTCCAAAAAGACTTTTAAAAAACCATGAAACTAATACGAGTATGATGCAGTTTGTGAAGCCAGAATTATGCTTCAAAAAGCTATTTAGGAAGATTCAAAGAAAAAGATGACAGAGGTACATAAGTTGTTAAAGTTGAAGGCATTTGTTTTAAGAGTTGTGGAGGAAGAAGGTTGGAATGTGTTGGCAAAGATCTTAAAACCAACATCTAGTGAAAAGGATGAATTTAAAGAATTATTAACTGAAGCAAGAAAACAAGCTAAACTATTTGAAGGATGCCCCACGTCTTATGGTAAAGGAACCTAGAAAAGTAGAAGCGGCCTTTGGACCTCTGGTCTAAGACGAAATTATTATACACCCTACCTATCACCATATGCACTACTGCAGCACTATGCCTAGTATCCACCACTTATGTTTTAAGAATACCAGAGTCAAAATGTGGTCTAAAACCCAGGCCTAGCTTATCAAAACTCATATAACAAGCAAACAACAAAGCAGTTTAACTACTACTTTTGTAGAAGTGCTGGTCATATGGCAGCAATATGCCCTTCAAAATCGACAAAAGGTAATTCATTAGGAAATAGGTTTTTTCAGAATAAAGAAAACATGAAAGGTGACTATGCTCAGGAAAAAGTGGAGAACAGAATAATGATAATGATCAATGCAGACCAAAACAGGGAGATTGTTGGAAGAATAAATGAATCAGCAGCTGTAAAATATTGGATGGAAAAAATAAAACCACCCTTAGTAGTAGTCTGCTAGCCAAGAAATCTAGTATCCTTATTCCTAAAAAATGTATGGAGTCTAGTCGAAAAAGAAAACCCAAAACCTTACAAGTTAACGTTAGAGCAAAAAGCATGACTAAAAAAGGAGTTGCATTGGTTAGAAAAACTGGGTGCCATAAAAAGGTGGGATCAGAATTGTTTTATCCAGCCTCTTTGTTGAAGATATCTCTAATTTTTCTAGTGCCAAAGTTAGGCCCAAAATGTTTTCGACTAATAATAGACTTAAGAAGACTAAATAAGTGGCTTTCAGAGAAATCATTTTAGTTTGAAGAGTTGAGAGGCCTACTAAGGTCAATTGGAAAAGGTTGGTCTATAATTACTTTGGACCTAAGAGATGGGTATCACCATGTCCTAATGGAAGAAGAAGCCCAACATTTTCTGGAGTTTCAAGTAGAAGATTCCTGATATCAGTACTGAGTTTTGCCATTTGGCCTTTCTCAAGCAGTTTGGGTTTTTTTGAAGATAATCCAGGCATTAATCACCTATTAGAGATCAAAGGGTATTGCTTCAGGCTCCCATGTCAATAATATATGGATAGCCCATCCATCAGCAGCAATGTTGGAAAGAATCTGAAACAGAGTTATTTTATCAGACCTGAAAAATTGCAGTTTTGTTCTAGCCTAGAACAAGAACAACCCAATACTATCAAGAAAAATAAAGTTTTACAGACTGATTGTAGACACAGAAAAGGCACAAGTGATTATACTTCAACAAAAGCTAGAAGAAACAAAAGCCTGTTTGAAGGCACTGTTAGGAATAAATTGGGTAACAGCCAGACAGTTGGTAAGAGTCACAGGCAAGATTCAGAGCCTAGTGAGAGCCTTTGCCCTAGCACAAATAAAATGTTTGAAGTTCTACTCTCTTATCGATGTGGCAAATCACCAAAATTGAAAATAAGACGAAAAAATCAGTCTTGCAGAGCAGGCAAAAATAGACGTCTGTTGGTTGCTAGAAAACTTAAAAACATATAATGGCCACCTTATCTGAAGACCATCATTAATAAAGAGCCTTTTCGTAGATGCCTCAACAGCTAGATGGTGCACAAAATTGGATGGTCAAACAGCATTTGGCAATTGGCCAGAAAGAGTAAGTTTTCGGAAAATTGCAAGATTAGAAGCAAAAGCACTTTTGCTTGGACTTCAGAGTTTCACAAATATGCTGAGAGGTTTCTAGGTCTTGGTGTTTATAGACAGTCATACGGCTCTAGCAACAATAAGTTTTGGAGGAAAATGTTGGTGGCAAAAGGAAGCCTACAGAAACTTGTAGCAAGTTTGTCTGGAAAAGGATATTTGGATCTACAAGATAAGATGGGTGCCTTTAGCACAAAACTCAGCAGATTTTTGGACCTAAGTCTTTGACTTCTCAGATTGGCACATCAGAGAGGAGGTTTTTCAACAAATAGATGCTATGTTTGGACCATATTCAATAGATCGAATGGCTTTACATCTGAATACAAAAGTGCAAAGGTTCAACAGCTATTATTTTTGTCCAAGTTCGGAAGCTATAAACTGTTTTACCCAAAGATGAGAAAACAAAATCAATTATGTTTGCCTTCCCTTACACCTGGTACAGAAGGTTCTCTGCTATATAAAGAGTTGCGAAGTAAGAACTACGATTATAATTCCAGAATGGTCATCAGCTGAATGGTGGCCACTACTCCTAGAACTAAATTAGGAGGTGTTGGCCCTGCCAGATCCAAGAATCACATTTTTGTCTGGCCCATTAGGTCTTGTAGAATCTTGGAGAAACCCATGATATAAATTTTTGGCAGTGCACATTCATCCATAAAAGAATTATCTGAAAGGGTGAAACAATTAGCAAAGGATTCAGTGTCCCCCTTCTACAGAGCTAAATCTGAGAAGTATTGGAACCTCTATAAAGAATTTTGTAAGAAGTTTGACCTTGACGTAGAAAACCCACTTGAAGAGGGTATTCTGGCCTTTATGATGTGGTTGAACGTAATTGGTCTGGCATTGCAAACCTCTAGAATTTTACAAGTTGTCGTAACTAACCTGCATTTTGAAGGTAAAGAGGGTTTTAAAAAATCTTTAGCTATAGCACAAGTATTAAGAACAATAAGAAAGGAGTTTTCAAAGGACAAAACACCAGATTGGCCATGTGATTTATTACTAATAATAGCACTAAAGCACTATGTAGACATACTATCTCCCAAGGCTGATGCATTAATTCACAAGAGGAATGTAGCCTTAGTAGCCCTGGGGTTAAGAACAATGCAAAGACCAGGGAAACTAGGGAACCTAACTTTGAAGGATATAAAATGGCAAGATAACAGAACCTTGTGGGTCCAGATCTGTAAATCAAAGACAAACCAATTTAAAAATGGCAGGTATATTCCAGTGAAAAATATAGGATCGAAATACTATACAGTCAGACTATTGGAGCAATACTTAGAAATTCAATCTAAGATGACTGCAAAGCCACCATTATTCCTATCAAAACAAAGGAAAAAGATTTCGGTTTTAGCAATTGGCTCTGTAGTTAAAAGGTTTGCTGAACATGCAGGCCTGAATGGCAAATTTACAGCTCACTTATTGCAAATTGGAGGAGCTATGGCAGCAATGACTGCAAGTATAAACCTTACCCAAATCCAAGCAATTGGAGGTTGGGACTCTAAAGCTGTCATGCTATACCTAAGAACTGTATCCACTGCTAGGACTGAAATCTCTAGGAAAATGGATTTTTTTAAAAAAAAAAAAAAAAAAGAAGGGCAGATAGAAAGAATAATGTTCACTATTTTTTAAAGTTGGAACCAAATAAAATGGTATCTGCTGTTAGGAGTAGGAAGCAAAAAAAAAAAAAAAAAAAAAAAAAAAAAAAAAAAAAAATAATTGATTAAAATAGTAATGATATCTACAATTAGTAGATAGAAACCAAACTTGTGAAGGATGGTATTCACTATTAAAAGCTGAAACCTCTGTAAACTGATTCTTATGTAAATAAAGAAAGCAATATTTAACAGCAATGATAAAAGATGAGTTGATGTGAGTTTTTTTTTTTTTATCTTGAGCAATCCTTGTCAACAATCCCATACTGTTCTACATTAACAGATGTATTGTTTGCCATGAAAATTGTTCATTCAATAGAAGATACAGGTTCTATGATAAACAATAATAATTATCTACTTGTGAACGAAGTCACAAGGTAGATATTATTGTGAGTTACTGGATTCCATATGATGATAGGTTACAGGACTTGCCTTGTTTGAAGTTAAGTATTTGAGTAACTAGATGATCTACTTGAATTCTTGTTCTTGAATTTTTCTGCTCGATATTGTGTCCCACTTACCTCATTCAAAAAAAAAAAAAAAGAAGAAGAAAAAAAGGAAAGCATGATACTCACTAAGTCTGGTCACATGACAGTCAGGTGGCTTGCTTGTGACTTCATCCCATACTGTTCTTCATTAACAGATGTATTGTTGGCCATGAAAATTGTTCATTTAATAGAAGGTACAAGTTCCATAACAAACAATAATAATGATATTATTTTGAATAAAAAGTCTAAGTTGAAGGACATTATTAAGTAAATAAACTGAAATAATGCAAAATTTAAAGTTATGCTTAAAGAAAAGATCTATAGCAATAGCATAACTATGAAATTGAAGTGTTTTGTAAATATGTGGTTTTAAATGTTTTTGAATCATAATTGCTGTTTTGGTTTTGCAGCTATTAGTGCAAGACTAGTAATAAATAAACTGCTGGAATCGAGAAAATTTAGTATTTGTATTGTCTTGTGCAATTTTAGTTTCTGTAATGCTAGCTATATTGATGTTATTGGATAAACAATAATTCTCTCAAACTTATTATTATATCCTCATGTGTTGTGTATATATATTAATAAATATAATAGTTTATATAAAGTAAATGTAGCTGTTTTCTTTATTGGTAGATGGGTAATATGTTGTGTGTTATGAGTGTTAGAGAATATAAGTTGAGAAAGAGTCTTAGATCTATCAACTATGTGATTAAGTATAGAAATAACTGATATAGATAAAGATTTAAAAAATAAATCTGTAAGAAACAATTAATCAAGTAAGACTGAGTAGATGTTGGATGAAGTATTGTTAGATGTTGTTAGTAAGAATAAGTGTTGTATATTCATATTAAAAAGGTTAAATAGTATAATGTTTATACAGAATAGGATTAGAAAGATTAATGTATATATATAATTCAGTTTTGTTTTGGTTGATAGATATTTTAAAGCTATTTTTGAAAGAGTGTTTTCAAAGATAAAATAAGATGTAGCAACTTAGTGAAGTGGATAAGTTGTTATACCCCCAAGTGGTAGGTTGTAAGTTCAAAACCTACTGATAACAAAATTGGATAATTACCTATGTAATATATAGATGGTATTATGGTGATGGCATTCTGTCGATTAGTTGGAATAGGATACCTGTAACTATGGTTGCACTAGCATGACTGGCAGATCTGAGGCATCTGTGTAACCTGTTACACAGAGGAATGCAACCCAGTACCAGGCAGTGCAAATCTAAAATAAGTCTTCGGGCCATGTAAATCTGTAGAACTGAGAAGCCAGAGCCCACTTGGAAATTCCAAGCAAAGAGGTAACATGGATCTTTGATAGTATTACTGTAAAGGCTGGATCTAGGAAATGGATACCAATGTAAAGGATTTGGGTAGGCAAGAACCTTAGGTGAGAGGTATTACCAACCAGGCTGCCAGATTTTAGACTAAAGAAAAAGAATATTAGGCCAGCCTCAATATACTAAGGACAGATTATAGTCCTTCTGGGTTATTTGAATTGGGAGTCTTGGTTCAAAGCAGGGGTATACTAAAAGTACTAGGGATATGCTGTAAAGTTAGTACTGGGGTCTGAGTGAACTCTGCAAGAATAACCTATGTTAGTGTTCTAAAAGTAGGTAGATAGTTAATAACAGAGAGCTCTCTGTGTTTTACTAGCAAGTGACATACTCTGAAATGTGTAATGGCCTCCTTATGAAAAAAAATATATTAAAATTATCGTGAATTAATACTTAAATTTTTTAGTATAAAATTCTGTATAGAATTATATGGAATTGACTGTGAATTTTGTATCACTTGATACAGAATATTTATATGAAAACTTTTTTATTAATGATTTAAATATTATATATTTTATTAAGTTTTATATATAATAAATATAA